CTCTTTTGTTGAAATTTTCCATGACCGAAATGTGGCTGCTCAGGCAATAACAATTAACGGTGCTCGCTATCACGACATGATAATCCAGTTTTTTGTGCCGTGGAGGCCATTTACCTTAAATACTATTTCATACACAACCCTATACTGTATACTTTATGACTCAATAAAAAATTTACAATTTTTAATTATAAACCTGTGTTTTCTATCAAAATTACTTCTTGCGTGAATTTTGGGACACCCTTTAGTAGTACATATGTCTCCTTTTTTCCCCCATTGACCTGAAAAATTTCACATTTTGGAACATGGTTACTGAACTTCTGACATGAAATCCAAACAAAATGAAGATGAGTGTATCATAGTTTGTAGGCACCTATCAATTCATAATAATGTCTCATGAAAATATTATTTCAGAAGAGCCTCTTGTCAATATTGTATTGGCTCAGAAACTTGTTGTGTCTATCAGATGTAAGGATCTAACATTAATGCTGAAGATACCCTTTTCATCTTGTGTTTTTCTTGTTATGAAGTGTTACTATAGTGAATCTTCATTTTCCTGTCCTCACTGTCACTGAGAAATCGCAGTGATGCCCAAGGACACACTGATTTTTTGTTAGATGCTTCATTGCATATTCACAAATATGCACTGCCCTTTAGAAGAACAATCAGTTAGATCCTAGTTAATGCAGACAAGATAAGCAGTCATGGAATTGCCATAATGCATTTCAATTAGGTTTGATTTTCTTACCTGTGAGGTCTTAAAGCTAATTGACTCAGAGAGCTTTTGTCTTCCTGTGAAAGATAGACACATAAGTATGCTATTTGTTAAGCAAAGAGAAATATGCCTGGCACTGAGATTTTCATTGTCATTTACAATGCTAGATACATTCCCCCCAGGGCATTCTCATTCTAGTTGAGAAACTACTTAAATTCCAAACACATTTATCAGAGAAATGTTTTCTCAGTAAGAGTTTCTAGGCAACATTAGTTTTTGGTATAGATTTCATACTTATTATATACTAGAGGCCCGGTGCACAAAAATTTGTGCACTCAGGGGGGAGGGGGGTCCCTCAGCATACTTAATGCCCTCTCGCATTCTGGGACCCCTCGGGAGATAACGACCTGCTGGCTTAGGCCTGCTCCCGGGTGGCAGAGGAGAAGAGGCCCAACTAGGTACAGCCCCTGGTCAGGCTCAGAGCAGGGCCAATTGGGGAGTTGGGGCGCCGCCCCCTGTCTTGCACAAAGCAGGGTGGATCGGGAGGTTGCAGTGCCACCCCTAGTCACGCTCAGGGTAGAGCCGATGGGGTGTTGGGGCACCGGCCTCTGTCACACTCAAGGCAGGGTCGATGGGGAGGTTGCGGCGCCATCCCCTGTCATGCACAGAACAGGGCCGATCAGGGTGTGGGGCGTTGCCCCCTGTCATTCACAGAGCAGGGCCCATCAGGGGGGTTGGGGCTCCATACCCTGTCACACACAGAGCAGGGTCGGTCA